AATCATTCATGTCCCGAGAGTCTGAGACATCAATGCATTGCAACGCCACTAAAGCTCATTTACTATGCCCAACTGTTCGTCCCCTACCACTCTTTCTTTTACCCTATAAAATAGATCCTTCGATTCCCAGGCTTTATACCACAGCATACAGACTAGAGGGAGATCACTTCAGTAAGAAGTAATTAAGTAGTGTCTGAGAAAAGAAGCATACCAAGTGAGTGAGAGACATGGGTAAGTGGTGTATCATGGTGATGCTTCTCGTTCTGGCTGTGGTGGCCAATGCTAGGAATGAGCCAAACGAGGCTTCTGGTCTCAAGGACCAGAAGACTTCCTCTCCTACGGTGGCATTGGAGGTTTTATTGGAGCTGGTGTCAAAGGTGTTGGTGCCGGTTGCGGATTCCGCGGAGGATATGGTGGCATCGGTGGATTTGGCCGCGTTGGAGCTGCAGGTGGCGTCCTTGGCAATGGCATCGCCGCCGGCGCTCTTTCTCACCCTTGAACCCCTGCATGCATGGCGATGCAATCAATACCCATTAGCCCTTTGGTCTGCTTTCAGAAATAAATAATACAGTCTGTGTGTGTTGTTTATTATCCAGATAGATATTAGAAGCACTCTGGCTTAAGAAAAAGTAGCGTGTTTTATTATCAGGTGTGTTACGTTTCAATATTTTACGTTTCAGTATATATGTTTCTCATTTCAGTTTGAACTCTGAAGTAACATCAATGATCTAGTGTGTGTTTTTATATATGCTTTGTGCTTAATTATTTTATGTCTGTATAGTCTAAGTCTCGCCTTTGATGTACAGTACAACAGAAATGTATCGAAACTAAGATCCTATTTCTACTGACCGACTTGCACTCAGGCTTTAATTTGCTCCTCCTCTGTTCAAAAATGACTTGGAAGACGCTCGTTTGGTTGTCCGGCCAACTTATACATCAAATAAACAAATAACTTACATGCCACTTGTTGTTCCAGTAGCATGAAAAATTTAACACCATGCATAAATGCAGAAACCTGAGCGACAAAACAATCACACACGCACACGGAGATTTATGTATCCATTCCTTTCTTCGGGTCCGATACAAACATATAGCTATGTTTTTTTTTTTTTTTTGGGGGGGGGGAGGGTCCCATTAAGATGAATTCGGTAAATTGAATGAACATACAGAGTACAAGGGATATTAATTTCTAGAGGGCCGACTGAGATTATATTCTTATCACGTCCCCTAATGTTTCCCGCATGAAGAAATCGAACTCTAACTACGTCTGGAAGCCTTTTAGAGTTGTGTTTGTGTGGTACAGAGGAAATGCTACTGCTCCACACCACACGGATATTGCTCTAAATAAGATCACAGGATTAACCCCTGCTCGAATTAAATTATATATGTATGTACTAGTTAGCTCAAGCCCAACTGAACGAAGAGAGAACATTAAAGATTAGTCTTTGAATTTGCACAACCTTACGAGAGTCTGGAGTAATTAAGGAACAAGCACAGTGTCACTATCTTTCTCCGCTGAATAAAGTCAGAATCTAAGAAGCGCGCGAGAGCTGAAATAATATTTAGTCGCAAAATGAAGCTAACTTCCGCGCGCGGGTGGCCTGCTCATGTTAATGTTAATTACCACCTTTGATTTTGACTATCAATCGTTTCTTATAAGTCCAAAGATATCATAAAACATGAAACATAATCGTATTTACACTGGTTCTGGGTACACAGGAAAATCTTGCTTGGGCTAAGCACCGTTCTATGTGTACTCATAATTTCCCTCCACTCAACCCCACCTTTGCGGCAGTAACACAAAACTAACAGACCTGATAAAACAGATTGAATGTATGTTCAAAGCACTATCTGCAGGATTCACACCGTCCTACAATTGTAAGTAGCTCTTCTGTATATCTTTATCGATCGATTTTTTCCCCCGATTAATAATCCAACATCGCCAGAAGAAAAGGTTCCATTATATTAGAGAACTTTTACCAACCTCGGAAGTTGGAATCTGCGCTAATGAAAATTTATGAGGCTGTGGCCTGTGGAGTGTAGACAGCTAAGTGTTAGATAGGCACTACAATATAATGCCTTTTTAGTAGGAGTGGTAATTGATCAGATTCAAAATCCAGAAAACAAAGTTAAGCCGGCCCCGCCCACATTAATTGTTCAGTTCTCTGCAACCCATGTTACAGTGGGTATAAGTAGGTGTATGCTTTACTCTTACGGTTGTCTGCATGATCTCTCTGGCCCTTAATTCCGCAGAACTTTAATCAATCAACAATTAAATTCAGCAGTACAGCATTAGGTTAATCATCATTCACCATGTCATTGAGACATCGATGCTCTCTGCAGTGCCACTATAGCTCATTTGCTAGGCTCAACTGGTCCTCCTCCTCCACCGCTAGAGCTCATTTGCTATGCAATTTCATACGGTCAACTGTCAACCTCTGGTTCTCCAAGATTCAAACAATATATAGATATTTGGAAAACGCTGGTTCAACTTTTGCAGCAAAACTTTCCCGTGGCTATAAGAGAATATTAAGATCAGTTTTCGGATGTGCACGACGGTACTGGAGTATTAAAATATATGTTGAGAAACAAGCAAAACGACTCTCTCTGTCTCAGTTGAGAATAAAGCTCAGAATCTAAGGAGCCAGAGGTGAGGTAAACATTAATAGTCAAGAGCAAAAAATCTGTCTGAAATGTAGCAAGCGAGTTAACGTGTGGGTGGGTGGGTTTGCCTATGTTAATTAAGAGGACGGTCCAAAAATCTTAAACATACTCGAACTTGAAGGGCTTGGGCGTTTGAACTAATAATATCCGTAGGGTCCTAAACATGAAACCTAATCGTGAAGGAAGGCCATTAATATGCAGTCGAGTTTTTAATGCTGGTTTGGTCATGAAAAGCTTTGAATATCAGCTTATTAATATTGAGTTAAGATGGCCCAGTCGTCCTTTAATTTAACCATGGGCCATGAAGGACTGCATGCACTGGCCTTCAACTCTATCTATAGAACTGACCTATGTATATAGCACGTTGTTATTATTATTTTTTTGGGTAAAGATACAATAAAATTATGGGGCTTCTGCAGATAATATCCATGCTGCAAGACCAAATTAATCAAACAGTTCAATATTTATTATATTTTATATTATAATTGATTTATTATATTTGTTAATGATATATTATTAATAATAAATTTTTGATAAATTTTTATTTTTTTAATAATTAATCTTGTATATCAATAATAAATCTTTTGTACATCAATATAAACTAGTCATATTTTTAAATTTTTAAAACATAAATCCTTATTTTCAAGTCATAAGATTTTTTTCAACCAATGGACTAATTGATCCTAAAATTAACACGTATGGAGTTCAAAAATATAAAACATTTTTGGATGAATTAGATGTTAAAAAATGTGAAGCATTTTTATTCTTTCAAAATGTAATCATCATTTTTTTTAAATACTCCTATTGATAATAATTTTATATTTATTATAGGGTGGTTAATCGGAATAAATATAAAAAGATAAAGTTAATTTAAAAGTGGGTAATTATTTCATTAGAAGGTAAGATTTAATTAAAAATGACTTATATTTTTTAATATATGTGTAAAAAAATCAACACATATATACGTATAACTACGTATAAAATAGACGCCAACTACTTTCTAGTTTCTACTCTGTCTTTTACAACTGACGTGCACGTACATCGCTTTGTCTCTGCTGTCTGGTTTTCTACCAGATGCAAATACGTCAACTTTATTGTAAAACTTCATGTATGTTATGCACCGGCGAACATGGTGAATGTTTGGGCCATAATTTATTCCTTCGATTGCCCTCTCATGAATAATCTAGATGTAAATCTATAGTTTGAAATATTTGTTTTTTATTGGGATTAAAAAAAGCAATGTTGCACTTAATAATTTTATAATAAGAAAAATATCAATTAAGAATCATCAAAAATTTTTTTATCAATTAATAATAACTTATTATCAAAATTTAAATGGATATTTGTTAATTTGGGTAAGTATTTTATTAACAAGTATTTATTTAAATTTTAACAATAATTTATTTAAACTTATTTTTTATTCAAGTTTTGATAATAATTAATCTTTGTGTAATATAAATTTCTTCTAACGATTATTGATTGCTATTTTTCTTTATAATATCTTTTAAATATTGATTTTATAAGAATTTTAGGAAATAGGGGAATTCTGTGTAAATCATAAAAGAAAATAATAAGTATAGATTATTCCAAGAAATATTTTAAAATAATTGATTCAAAATATTTTGGCCAAAAATGTATTCAAATTTTTGAAATTAAGAAATGCATTTATATTGTAAAATAAAAGTGCAACAAAAATTTATGATGCATGGATTTAGGCGGGATTGGATCTTTAAGACAAGACGTTGAGAAATATTAATCGTCAAATTAAGATTTAATAATGTCAAGGGAAGAGTTATAAATTGTTTTTTGAATAAAAAATGTAGATATTTTTAATCAAAACTCCTCTCACAATATTGTTAAATTATATTACGGGGGAATGACCAACGATATAGGTTACTTATTTATTAGAGATAATTTCATTGGAAGTACAGGCATATCAAATATGAGCACATTTCTCAATTAATATACACATTTTTATAGGTGAAATTTAAATCTTAATTTGTTAGCATGTTGTTAGGAATTACCTCTTTTCACCAAATCCAATTCTATTAGTGATTTTAATTAGCACACAAATTCAATTTTTTTTGGGCTTCAACACTCAAATTCAATTGAGATTTGAGAAAATAAGAGAACCTCAATTAATGCCAACAAAGGTTGGATTTAGTTATAGCAAAAGGAAATATTTTCATGATGAATTAATATTTAAATGCTCATTAAAAAAAGGTCAATATTTAATCGATAAGAATCCTTTAAATATAATTATCTCCTGTAAAAATACAGCTGAACAGGGAAGAGAGAACCTCAATTAATAAAATCAAAATCGGATGAAGTTGGCTCGGTCATCTTCTCGTACATGAAAAATTGAAATTGAAACCCTCAAGCAGGTAACCTGGCATCACACATCAGCCTCAGGTCAGCACTCACTCGGTATCGCTTCACCTTCACCTAAGCTCCTTCCCTACCTCTGCCTCTCCCCTCTCAATTCTCTTCTCTGTCTCTGATTCGAAAATTCCCTCTTCCCTCTGCCGCCTTTCTTCTCTTGGTCTCTCCTCTTTCTCCGACGACCACCGCTGCTACCCTCACCCTAGCCCTCCACTGTTGCCCTGTTCTTCGTCCTTCGAGTTCCTCCTCTGTTTCTGTACTTTTTCACCTTGTTGGGTACCTCAAGTTCAATGGGTCCTCGATTGTGTCAGGTTTGCGATGAAGCTCAATCAAAGTACAAGTGCCCTTCATGCTATACACCCTAGTAAGTAATGCTCAATCCTTTGTTCCGGGTTATAAACGTCGTGTAACTAACCCAAACCCCTTCTTTTTTCAAATTCTTTAAAATTATTACTCTCTAATTTGATTTTCACTAATGCGTTTACAGCTGCTCTCTGGCCTGTTTTAAGAAGCACAAAGGTATACAGTTTGTTCATGTTCCTCCATGAGTGTTCTCCCCGCATTGATTGTTTTGCCTGTTGTCTGTTTAATACACCTCATACGGATCAGTGAGAGAAGTGAATTGAGTATCATATTAGACAGTGCATTCCCCCACCCCACCCCGCTCAGCACTGTTGCTCCTGAGATTTCTCTTAATGATATTGAACATTTAAACTGAACAAGTTTTGCTTCGATGTTGCAGAAATTCCGTGTGTCAAGCCACCACCTTCCGATCTAAAAAGGAGTAAGAGTTTCCTTGGCTTGTATGATTGCTGGCTTTGCTAAGATATTTTCTGCAACCTATATTGTTTGTGATGACTTTTCGAGGATTAATAAAGTTTGGAGTTATACTACGATGGATACAATAACAATGCACGTTTGTTCTCATTTTATCCTTCAAAATTCTCCTGTTCCTCTTTCTGCCTTGGGGAATTTTCAATTCAGTATCATTACAAATCGAGTAACTCAAGTGGCTTGCCCTCACTTTGTAGAATGTTCTACACTCTCCTTCGAGTTTGTTTCTTTCTCATCTTTTCTCCTAAGTCTGACACCTTGCCTTTTACTTCCTGTATTGGATTCCGATACTCAATGTATCTACTGTCCTCCCCCCCCCCCGGCCGGGGGGGTTGTTTGTAAATACTATTAAACAGATCAAATTTTTTTTGATGGAATAATGTCTCCTCTTTCATGACATGTGATCGCTATTTTACCGTCAGGCCTGTGCAATCTTGATGGTTAAGTTTGCTCAAACTGGCTTTTGTACAACAATTCATTGCTCTTAGGGACTGTCATGAATTGATATTTGTTCCTGTATTATTCATCAGCTGCCATTCCAGAATCGCATGTACAAAAGCCAATACTTGTTGATGAACCCAGCGAGGTGCTGCAAAAATCCCAACTAGATGCCATAGGTATGATATCTGCCCTCCCCCAATGCGCTTACGTTTATGTATTTATTTGTACCTTCCTTACTGTCAATGAATGGGAAGATTTTATGTACTTACATATGGTGATTGTTTCAGTTCTAGTTTAGCTGTAATGTTCTGTCATCAATATCCCTGTTGTTCAAGCATTTCTTCTTATAGGGAGGGTAACCGCGCCAAAAATTCTGGGATTCATATGATGAATGTTTAATTTATTCTTTTGTATTAACATGCGATCTGCAGCTTGTTCCAGTAAGATTCGCAGTGCTTTGAATGATAAGGCCCTTCAAGAACTAATTTGCAGTATTGATTGTTCCCCCGATGCAGAGAATGTAAGTTAATCTTTACTTAGATAGTCAGATGCCTATTCTAAAATTTCACCTTCTATGTGCGTGGGTCTGTTGGTCTGCTACCTAGCAACTTGGATCATATTAAGGTCTTTAAATTAAATACATTAAATTTTGAGTTGGAGATATTTCATTTGAAAATTATGTCTCTGACTAGGCACTTGATAAAGCCATGGCAGAGGAACCGATTCGATTGTTTGCGGAAGAGGTAATGCAATCAACTGGTACTCGTTTAGGTTGTGAGTCACATTGAATAATCTGAGTTTTACAGTGCCCTTGATCTTATTCTTACTCTTCTAATCTGGTTTCCAGATTTTGTCAATAATCAATCCATAAGTGCGGGCAACTGTTTCTGGTGGAGGAATAGGTCGTAGAAAGTTTACGTATGCAAGAAGTTCCAGACTTCTAGATGATGAGATGAGATCCTTCAGATCATGCCAGCTGTTACCTAATATTTGTTTTTTATGATCTATACGGCATCCCGTGACTTAGCTTTTGATCATATTTAATTTATCAATTTTATTTTGTATGGTCGCACAAAATTAGTTCAGAGTTTGTGTGTCAGTAACAAGAGTGTAGATAGAAAATAGAATCCCCAAATTTCCATGTGTTTACTTTTGCAGTTTTGCTTGACTCTTGAAACGAAGCTTCACTCAAGTTCACGTTCTAACTTGAAGACGAGTTCTGATATTTGTCATAACTTGAGTTTTAACTTCTACTGATAAGTATATGTATATCTATAACTAGCGTTCTAACATTGACCAACCCGGTCATCGGCTGGTAAATATAATGTTCAAAATACCATGGGATGTATGATCCCTTTGCGGCATATGCGCGTGCACAGATGCCCCGTGCACGGATCCTTTTGGGCGTCTCAAGATTGGTTCGCCAGTGCACGGATCCTTATATTTCATTCAATACTGATAACTAGTGAATGAAATATAAGGCCAACAGTTTCACTGAAATCAGATCACCCGCGTGCATAATTTAATAACGATGATGACGGTGCCATCGCAAGGAAGTATGAAAATTTAGTGTTCTATTGGCTGAAGATTTTATTTATAATTCCCCCAGTTCAATGGCCAGGCAAATTGTGGTTGTTACTATAAAGAAATTGTGCTGGGAAATGGAAGAAACATCGAATTTTGGGAAGATTTTTGGGTAGGTGACTCTGGCCCCTTAAAATTCCTTTCATTTATAGATATTCCTGAGATAGATTTAAATCGACCTATTTCTGACTACATCGATGACGACGGATTATTGAAATGGAACTTTTTCGAGAATTGCTGCCTAGTGTTTCCTTGGAACAAATTGCGAGCATGACAGTCGACTCTAACAATGAGTTGAAGCCCACTTGCTCTTGGCACCTCACTGGTAATGGAGAATTCACGGTTAAATCAGCTTACATGGCTAATCAGCATTCAGAATGGAATAATGTTGACAAAATCTGGCAAGGTCTGGAATTTATCCATGGCACAAAGAGTCAGAACATTCACTTGGTTACTACTAAAAGGGAGATTACTTTCTAACACTGAAAGATTCAGAAGACATATGACTCATGACAAACAATGCTGGCGTTGTACACATCCAAATGAGAACATTAACCATGCGCTCAAACATTGCCCGTTTGCAGCTGCTGTGTGGAGGGATCTGAGAACTGAATTCTATGGAACTGAAATTGAAGCCTGGATCATTAAATGCCTATCCTCTGCTGCCCTGGACATCTCATGGAAGATCGGCATCAGTATCACTTGCTGGAAATTATGGGATATTAGAAACCATAGCATCTTCCCGAACGAAACATTTTCTGTTGATAGAGTATTATCCCAGATTAGAGCTTTTGTTAATCACTCTCTACAGTCCTGGTCCACTCTCAGGATTTTGATGTAATTATTGCTTCTTGTACCGTCCTCTTTTGATGAATGAATTTCCCTTTTCACTCAAAAAACAAAAAACAAAAAACAAAAGAAAAGAAACAAAGATCTGAAACAGATCTAAGAATGTTGAGATCACGCTGCAGAGAGATTCTGCAATATCACCACAAAGGGTAACGAGGGTAAGGGGAGGGTTAAAAAAAAAAAAAAACTTTACTGTACCCACAAAAAATAGCCTTTTGAGATTGGCAGTAATTTACTTGCTAGCCCCCTGCATGCTACATATATACAAGCTTGCCACAGAGAACTGCTAAAAAGTTGGTTCTCGGACACCGCCAAACTTAGCAGCTCTGATAGAAAATATAACCTACAACGTCCAAAATTAAGTCCATTTTTAAAGGCAGTTATTTTTATTTCACATCATGATCATTCGGGACTCAATGTAGGAGCTGCTGGAATCTGCAAGGTTTGATTAGCCCTTGGTTGTAACCATGAGTGAATCATCCATTTTCTGCACAGCGTCAAGAAAAACCGAACTGCTTAAGAAGATAGAGGTAGATTATAAAGACTGAAGTATTAGAGAAGACGATACAAATGAATTCTCTCATCAATATCAGATCCCACTTTCATTAATGCAGTAAACCAGAAGACCCTCGAGTTATTATGTGCTGGGGAAGTTTGTGACACAATGATACAGCCAGTCCCATTGCCCCACAATAATTCTTGTCCTTTCTATTTCCACCGCAAGAAGCGAAATCTTGAAGAATACTAAGAGCATTCACCTGACTGATGATTTTCTAGATTCTCATGGGCCCTACTGGTACTCGGCTTGCTGATATCTTGTTGCATCATTGTCTGATTCTGTACAAGGAAACGAGCCTCATGTAAGTGTCCCCCACAGTTCAATTGATCTTCTTCTGACACTGAACAAGATCCGGAACTCGAGTTCATTTTTTCTAATTCATTCTATTTGCCCTCAGCCATGGAAACCGGCCTAGCATTGAACATTAGAGGACAAAATTACCTGCATTAAATGGCATCGAATCTGGTGGGGACCAAGGCATTGGTGATAAGCACCAGGGGGGTGTGGGATCCGTGAGTGAATAGGATTCGATGAAGCCAGTGAGGAAAGCATCTTATCTGCCTGTGTTGCTGCTTGCATTCTGGACAAATCAGGTGCTGCAACATGAAACGGAGGAGGCAAAGAGAAGGATCTTGGTCCCATTTGAGCGGGCTGCTACAGCTGCTGGCATGGCTGAAGCAGCAGCCACCATATTAGGAAATGGCATCACCGGCCTGTTCATTCCCATCCCCATTGCTGGTATATACTGCTGCATTCCTGCATACATCATGGGTACCATTCCACATCCCATAGACATCATCTGCACAAGTCAATTCCATCCTTGCTCTCATAAAAAACTATGCCATATGAGTATAACAAATGATGGTATATCAACACGAGCATACTAAATGCAAGCTATTCCCAATACATAATAACGCATGCGCGGAATCAGAGATGAAGCTACCTGGACTTGTAACTGCAGTGACTTTAAGTACTCGATTGCTTCATCCAGCATCGACGCTTTGTCAGACTATAATTCAGAAAAAATAATGTCGATATTAGGAACTAAAATTGAAATCTTGTCCCTTGTAATGTCATGAAAAAAGCAGGGAGAAAGTTAAAACAGCCTGTTCACCTTGTTACACCGAGGAATAAGTTCTTGTAAAGCTCTCATCTTTTCATTAATCCTGTCTCGACGTCTCTGGATAAAAACGCAATTTGGAAGCTTTCAGCTTGTGAATAACACTGCAGAAGGAAATCACTTTTTTTAATAGAAATGTACGGTACCCTCTCCGATAGATTGTGAACCTCCGCGGCACGAGATCTCCTCGTAGATTTTGATCCGCGAACTTGTTTTTTCGCTCCAGCAGATTCATAACCCAAATCCTTTTTGCAGCCACCCAAATAGACACAAGAACGCCTCAAAAACACGATAAAGGCAGACAGGCAACAGAAAGCAGAAAATCAGAAAGGACCAAAAGTTTGATATGACGAATATAAAATCTGCCTCGAGCCTGTTCCAACTTACTTACTTAGATGGAGAGGAACCTGCAAGCTCAAACACATTGGAAACCACCACAACATCCATATTGGGGCCAAGAAAGAAGTACAACACAAGTGAAACAAATGTCTTTTGTCATTCGCACCACTGGCTCTCTAGTTTTACATAAATTTTTCCGTGCTATCACCTATACCATACAAAATCTCTCACGAAACTATTTGACACGGACTGTCGCAGACTTCACTGTGGCTCTCACCATCGCAATTTTAGAATCTTCAGATCACAAATTCGTTTTCGCGTCAAATACTTGTATTTTTTTTATGTCATCAAATACTTCAGTAGAATGATTGTTGTTGTCGAAAATCAAAACAGTAAATTACAGAATTTATTCGCAGCCCAATCCACGTTGCCAAATACTGAAGTTTGAAACACACTGACTGGTTAATAGGCGTTCACTTCAATGCCGAGCTGGAGCTTACGTTTACACACGTCACTAACTTAGCTCACGATAGGCGAGGCCATTACAAATTCAACGAGTTTGTGAGCGACAGAAACTGAAAACTTGAAATAAAATAAAAATAGCAGTCAAAATATTCACTCACCTCGATGTGACACTCCGACTCATCGGCTTCCCGGCCCTTCCGCTTCCGATCATTCGCCGGCGACCTGTCGGACGGTTCTACGCTACCAGATGATCCTCCTGGCGACAACGTTGCTGTCATCTCACACGTCATTGCCTCCGTTACTCCGCCAGCAGTCGTCGTCGAAGGCGCTGCAACCCCGGTAGTACTCATGCTCCCGCAACAGGCTGCCTCTTCCGTTCGCTCCGCCGCGCTTCTTACGGTATCCGAGATTCTGGAAGTAGGAGCGACTGCAGGGATATCGCATGAATCCACCGCCGTCGATTCCCTCGCAGCGGTCCTCGACCTCGACGGCCCTGATTCAACTCTAGCACTGTGTTTCGAGAAGTCCTCGGATTCTTGCATCTTCGCCGGTGGCCCCCAGGCCGGCTGTATCGGGGTCCGAGGAAGAGCTACTGACGACGAGGGCTGCCGGACCTCCGTCATCTGAGATGTACGGACATTGGTCTGCATGGTTGCACTGTTGTTGATTTGGCTGCTATTGTCGACCGCGGCGTGCGGCGTGTAGAGGAGGTCAGCACAGAAATTGTGATCCAAGGGGGAATCGTCGACGATGGGACAGTGAAGCCAGGAAGCCATTTCATCCTCCTGCATGAACAGATGTTGGTTGTAGTAGTTTTCTACTGGGGGCGAGGGTCGAATCTCGGTCTCCGTCGCCACGGAGGTCCCGGAAGGAGTCACATCGCCGGAGCGCCTGGGCGGCGGAAGTTTTCTGAGAGGCCCAATGTTATGGGTGGGCATGACGACGGGACCGTTTTGCCAGAAAAGCTCCATGATTCCATCGTCGGGCCTGTTATAAATTCCAAGCTTGACGGTTAACGAGAGCGAGTGCTCGCAGAAGAAAATTGAAACAGAGAAACATAAAAAGTTGGAAGGAGCTTACAGGAAGGGTTTCTTGGAAGGAGGGCAGGCAGAAGAGAGGGGAATGGGGTATTCATCATTATCATCCATCTGGAGCTGGATGGAGCTAAATGGAAAAGGGATTCCTAAAAACAGAGAGAGAGAGAGAGAGAGAGTGAAAAGAGGAAATCCATGGAGGTAAATGAAACGAGAACAAGGGAGGAAAGGACAACTTACAGGTACAGCAGCTGAGTTGTGGATAGTTTGTCTTGAGGCTGCTAA